ACCCCCCACCCCTAAACTCTAAACCCAGTAAGGTTACCCTCCGTCAAGGTCCGTGGCGCCTGAGCAAGTCTGGCAGGGTTTGGGCTGTCTGGCCAGCCAGTCCTTCTCCTTTCCAGATGCATGATATAGGGGTAATCTTGGGGTTATATAGGGGTAATATAGGGGTAGCATTGGGGTTACATAGGGGCAAGTTTTGGGGTTATGTAGGGGTAATTTTGGGCTTATATGGGGGTTATATTGCGGCCCCCAAATGGAACTGGCATGCAAGTCTGCGCGGAATACTGCGTAGCTTTTGGACATGCGAGCTATAGACTAAACTCCTAGTGTCCCCTGAAAAACCACTTTAATACTCCCCTATATACAACCCCGTATATAAACCCTGTGAAGGAGTTTGGACTATAGCTCAAGTGGCATTATCCTGGTTTTGCATTCGGTCTGTTGCTTGCATCTGGGCAATGGCCGTCCTCCTGCTCTTTGCGCTGCCTGTCAGGGCAAGTCCATGGCATCTGGTCTTTTTCCATACCGAAATGGATATGCCTCCCACCATATGTGGGCTACTAAGGGGGGAACCTCAGGCATTTGGTGTGTGAGGGTTACTCCATACGACACGGCGGGTGTTTGGGCCTCTCTCGCTCCTCTTCGATCCTTTTGAGCTCCTCGATCCGGACCGTCTCTTGATCTTAGCAGTCCGCCCCCAGTTGGTAGGAATCAGCACCATCTTCTGCGCAACAACATCACCCTCTACGTCGTTCTAGTATTTCTAGCAAGCACTGAGCAGCCGACGCTGCCGTTCGCGCTCTTCTTTTCTTCTCCGCTCTTCCTGGCCAACATTGACAACTGAGGTAAGGCATGGTAAGGCCCTCCAAGCAAACTCGTCTTGTGCTGTCCTCTTCCTGCAAGCGGCGGCGCTTTGCCTGGAGGGCAAGCTTCCTTTGGCGCCTGCGCCCAGAATGCTCTCAACAGCTACACGCATGCCGCAGGCCAGTTTCTCAATCACGGGGCTCAAGAAAGTGGGAGCCCCTTCATCCTGAATGGGCAAGACTTTGCCCTTCGCTACACCCGATGCACCGCTTGAAGAAAGCAGCTGGGTAGGTAGTCGTTTGGAATATGGGTTTCAGCTCTGACGCCTCTTCTCTTCCGCTTCCTGCTGCGCACGGAGGCGCCTTAGAGAACCATGCCAGGCTGCGGGGCGAAGTCGCTCTCCGATTCAAAGTGCAGCAAAGAACATGCAGCCGGGTAGCTGCTCTTCTACTACGGCTCGCCGCGCAAACTCCTCTTCGGCACGCATTTGCCGCCACCTACAGAACTTAAAACAAGGACCCTGAGGTTTGGCGATGCTTGCAATGTCCGCATATGCATTCCAGTCCACAGCAGCAGCCAGGGCATCCAAGCAGACTTGTGAAGCTCCGTACTCTCACCTCTACCACGGCTTGCAGATGGGCCACCTGCCATTGCCCCCTATGAGGTCAATGCGGTCCAGATGGGAGAAGTCCTGGACAAAGCATGACTCCCGAAATACTATAATCCTTACTGGGATCCCCAAAAAGGTACCCCGAATTTGGGCAATCCTAAATACTTTGTCCCTTGTGATGCTCAGGTATGATACCTTGCCACCTCAGCTGGCTCTTTGCTGTTAGACCCCAGTTGCTCAAAAAACCAGAACAGGTCTAGAAGGCTACAGCCGAGGGGCTGGTGAGCTGGCTGTCTGCTCAGGAACCAGGCGCCGCCGACTAAGCCACAGGATTGCGTGGATTTTGGGATTCAATGACTGTCTTACTTCCAAGCACTGCCGGCCTTCAACACTCCTAGCAGTATACAGCTTTAAGAAAGTCACCACCAAGCATCATCTGTGGGAACGGACTTATTTCAATAATTCGTTTCTGGCTGCAAAGTGACGACGGCAGTACCTAATGATTGAGGGCATGTGACATTCTAACCAGTCTCCCACAGATTCTGAGGGGATGACTTCAGGCTCCATTCCCGGAGGTCTCGGGACAAGCAAGATGCGAGACATGTCAGCTGTTAGTACAGGACTTGCAAATGGCGGAGATATGCGACGCTGCTGTCACGTACTCACATACACATACCTTTGAAAGTGAACTGCCGCATGTACATCTGTGACCTGCCGTCAATAGCCTGTAGACACGCAACATGCCATGGAAACCTGCGTGAGCAGGAACACCTCAAATGGGCAGTCTCAGAATTTGCTGGCAAGCACTTGGGCCGCTGCTATGCGCTGCAAGGATGCATGGGCTGCTCCTTCCAGGAACGCAGGTGTCTACCAGGACCCTCCTTGTACCCTTAAATTGGGGTATATGGTCCCTAATAGTGGGTACTTAGGCCCTAATAGAGGGTAGAAGGAGGGTCTAGGTAATTCAATTTCCATTCTCTGCTTTGACGTCCACATGACTGGATCGAAGAACAGGTAAGTCTCACCTTGGGACATTTGATTCAAGACTGCCTCCTAGACAGTGAGTCCTGGAGAGTGTGGTGTACTCCAGCCCCAGCGGCATCACTCCGATGCCCGGCTCGATACTCAAACACTGCGGGACGTAATGTGAAGCTGGCACGCCCTCAGCTAGGATCCTTCCGAAGGATTCCCATGACGCTAGCAACCCTAAACCTAAACCTTAAAACCACCTCCTTTGCTTTTATGAGTTCAGGTGATTGCTTCACATGTCTCTGTGGGCTCTGCACTCCAAAGCACAAGACTGTGAATGTCGTCACGCCCTGTCAACGAATCAGAATTCATTCCCTCCGTGTAGCCTAGCTATGTCTGACGTTCCCAAATTGCTGCCTAACGCCCTCAGCTTGGGAAATGCTTCGGCAGTGTAATCTGAAAAGAGCACACCAACGCGTTACACTTTCTGAGCATTCGGCCGCGAGATAAGCATGCAAATGCAACGCAAGTTGTCAGCGAAGCATTTCGCTGCATTGGGTTCGCTCAAGTTCCTTAAAGTTGGAATCGCGCAGAATGAGCGATGCTGACTCTACTTTTCAAGTCAGGCTTAGTAAGTAGGTTATTAACCCCTATAACCGATAGAGTGACTAGTTATCCCCATCATTAACCTAGCTATTGAATCCCCTGACCCTCCAAGTATGACATTGCTACATTGCACTGCAGCCGTCATCGTTGCTGCTCTTCTTCTTGTCCTGGCAGTTGGATCTGAGTTCGCTAGTTTGCACATCTCCTGGATGGTGGCTCCTGACTTCAACAAATACTATTATTACTATTGTAAGTAGTATGGCTATTGAAATTACTACAACTATGATTATTGCAATTATTACTACTGTAGCAGCTCTTTTCGTGTAGCCAAGCAAGCTGCGCTCACATCCCACCTTCTTCTCCTTTTTTTCTTTGCGTTTCTCTTTCTTGGATCTTTCTCCCTCCTGAAGCCGGGTTTTGGGTTTAGGGGTTTAGGGTTTAGGGGTTTAGGGTTTAGGGGTTTAGGGCAGATGTTGTGATCGACTGGCAATGCTTCCATTCCTAGTAACACCTGGGCATGTGCCCAAATCATGGGTCTTTCACCCACCAAAACAGGATTGTGTAGGGGTATACAGGGGAATGGAAAAGCACATGGAAACTACTATATCATCTACGGACTTAGGTCAGAAGAGTCCTGGAGTTTTGCTGCACCTACCCTCCCATCCCATTTACCCAATACCTATGACGCAAGCTCTTGGTAGGTACATTACAAAACACTAGTGCTAGTTGTCACAGAAACTCGATGGGACCATAGGAAGTTACTTGATTTTAGCTGGGGTTTCCCTACCTACATAGACTAACACCCCAATAAACCACTATCACGGTAGTATCCATGTCATTTTCAAAAATTGGGGAAACGTCCTCAAACACCATATAATCCATGTGTATACCTGGTCATAACCTGTTTTTCCTAACCCTAAACCCTGAACCCTAAACCCTAAACCCCTAAACCCCAAACCCTTAACTTTATACTCCAACGTGTCAGATCGCACTCCTCAAGCGCCGGTTCATCTTTGGAACCGCTCCTGCAGCCAAGGAGTACTTGGAGGATCAAGGGGACTTAGCATGCGGGTTTAGGGTTTAGGGTTAACAAGGGCGATAACTAACTGTATATAAGGGGTATATGGGGACAATGGGAATTACATATTATATGGTAACTCCCCCACCGTAATTGCCTTAGACAATCGAGATGGTGAATCCACCTACTTTGTCATACCGAACCTTTGGACATGGCAGGACTGCACATGAGAACTGCTAGAAATAATAATCGTCATATTCACAGCCGCCAGGATTGTAATATGGGACCATCAGAAGCCTCACCCCCGGCGCTTTGTCCGGCAGCGTGTCGGGAGATCCTCACGACAGAGCGGCGGGAGTTTCGCGCAACGAGTTCTAAGTGCAATCCCTGAAATGACATTGTCTGCGCTATCATTCAAAAAAGGACCTGGACACTGAGAACGGCGGTTTTCTTTCTGAAAGGGGAAAGAGACTCAGCGACCAAGTAATTCCTGCAGCAAGCCCTCACTTTCCTTGGAACCATGCCTACTCGCTTGCCTTGCTTGCAAATACATAGTAATAATAATAGTAATAATAATATTAATTTTAATAATAATCGTAATAACAATAATGGTAATAATAATAGTAATAGTAATAATAGCAATAAGAATAATAATAATAGTAGTAATACGAATAGTAATAATGATAATAAAGTCCATCTTGGCATCTTCTTTCCTAGGCACATGGACTGACCGAGGCATCATCCCTCTGCTGACTGCCTTGCGTTGATGTTTCAGCTACAGAAGACAGAAGATAGCATATGGGGATCTTTTTATAATATAGCATAATATACCATAATATACTATAACATAATAACATACTATAATTTCCCATAATATACTACAATATACTATAATGTAATATAAGGGATCTTCAGCCGCAGTAGCCTCCGGTCCTTGACGTGCATCTGCTTGCACGTCAAATTCCGGCAAGGGCATCAGGGAAGGCCCTGCCTCTGCAGCTGCCTCGTTAGACGGCGAGGTGGATCAAAGCTGTGCGGGATCTGATAAACACTATAATCGTCATAGTAACAATAAAAGTACTAGTACTACGGTGCATACTAAAAATCCTGAATGACCCTAACCATCTTATATCCTGGGAATTACGGTACTGTAGTATATTAAGGTCATGCAGGATTTCTAGTATCAACAGTAGTACCAACACTAGCAATGGTAGTAAGAATAATAGTAGCTGCTGTCATCTTGCAAAATCTTCTGATCACAAATGGCAGTTTCACAAAACTAGGCTACCCCATTATAGACCCCAAAATACGATAATCCTTACTATGGGGACCCCAATAAGGTACCCCCAATTTTGGGAAACCCCCAAATCAAACTGCAGCTCGTGCCTGTCTCGGATCTGCCAGGCTGAGACTGGGCTGCGTGGTCTGTGCAGGTGCTCTCAAGTAAGAGGATGACCGACATCAGAAACCAAAATAGTAGTTTCCATTTTCTTTTCCATTATCCTTGTATAACCCCTATAGATTCCCTATAGAACTTACGTCTACACTCGGGAAGGTGTACGCATTGTATCCGGACGCCCTCGCTGCATCCTGATATGTGCAGCTCCCAATGGCCTCAGCAGCTTCTGCATGTGGCAGCATGGCCGCTGCGACTCGTCGGGCCTTTGACGGATGGCCACAGTAAGAAAACAAGCACCTGTAGAGCCTGTGAAAGGCATGATCCCAAGGCAGAAGCGCTTACAATTTCATGATGTGCCAGGTCACATTAACACCTAAACCCTATATAGTAGTTTCCATTTTCTTTTCCATTTTCCCTATATAATAACCCGTATATAATCCCTATTAATCATGGGTTACATTGGCGCTGTTTGAAGCCCTAAGCTGTTGGCAAGCACATCTGGCTTCCGTGCACAGTCTTCCAGCTCTGCCTCAGCATTTGAAGATACTTATCTGGGACTACATATTAGGGTAATGGAAAATAAAATGGAAACTACTATAATGGGGTATATATTAGGGTTATATTGGGGTTATATATTGACTATATAAGGGTTATATATGGTAATAGGATTGCGCGTGAAGAGTCGCACAGGGAAAGAGTCAAGCAAGACTTTTTTGATGAGAGGATTCAGAGCAGCTCACCATGTCATTCAAAGGTGCCAGGGTTGTACCCCTAAGGTCGTACCCCGGAAAGGTCTCCCCAATATGGCCCTAATATGGCCCCTATATAGTCACCTAAATTCCCTAGAAAGGATCCCAAATCCCCACAATTATATATCCCGAAACCCTAAATAGTAGTTTCCATTCTATTTTCCATTACCCCAATATACCCAGAACCCAGGGGCACAACCCTAGAGGTACAAGCCCGTACCGTAACCCTTGACATGTAGAGCCAGGTTTGGAGCCTGGATCTTTTTTTAGTGGCGATACATACCCTGCAGAGCCCTATACTTGTTGGCTCTTAGTGGGGAATAAGGGAATATAATCCCTATAATACAATATACCATAGCATACCATAATATACTACAATATACCATAATATACCATAAAGATACCGTATCATACCATGATATACTATATAAGAAATCCCCATATTCCCTACTAAGCCCCAGTAAAGCTATTCCCAAACAAGGTCAGCCTGCGGCGCAACTGCACATAAGAAGCCAGAAGATGCCATGCTAACAGCTGGAGGGTTTAGGGTTTAGGGTTATATTGAAGTTAAAGGGGGTTCTATTAGAATAATGGAAGAGAAAATGGAAGCTACTATTTAGGGTTTAGGGCTTTGAAATCTTACCATCCTCGTCTGAAGCGAACAGATCTTGCTTCCTTCCAGATCCCTAAACCTGGGAGCCAAGCAGTGCTTAGATCATCCAGGGGTGGCTGCGCGCCACCAATGAAATCCTCATTGATGCTTATCGTTTCAGAGGCTTGCTGGTTCAAAAATCACCTTGCTGATTGCACAGATTTACTGGGTTGCTGTTAAGGAACTTAATTTGAGTTACTATATTGAGGAGACCATATTACTTACTATATATACCCATTATGGTAAACTGAATTATCTTTTAACAGCAACCCAGTTTACTCTTGCCCCTGCTGAAAACTCCTCCACGGCGCACGCTGTGTTACTTTATCCCTGCATGACGAAAAAGAACATGCACAGACATCTTTCTCGAAAGCGAGTTGTGATGTGGCACATGTGGCTTGCGCAAAGATGGGATGAAACCAGGCTGCGAACGAATCACAACGCGGGAACGCGGATCAGCTTGTAATATCAGAAGCTGTCACACTTACCATATGAGCTATAGTCAAAATTCCCAGTATCCCCCTTAATAAGCCCTATAATACTCCCCTATGTAAAGCCCGATATAACCTATATCTGCAGGCATTGGCCCCCCAAACGTCCTGCCACGTGATGCCCTGCTTGGCTAACCTTGGCAAAAGAGGAGCGCTAAAATCACCGACGAAGGAGTTGACAACACACCCTACTTAGGGGATCAGGGGGGCTTAGTAAGTAGGTTAATCTTGGAAAAGAATATGAAAGCTACTATGTATCACTTAGGGTTTAGGGTTTGGGTTCAGGGGGACTTAGTGGGTAGGTGAATAATGAGGATAAGTAGGGATATGTAGGGATACTGTATGGATTGTATGGGTTATTAACCTACTTACTAAGTCCCCCTGACCCTCCAATCAATTAAGCACAGGTCAGCGACAACTTCCATGAGCTTGATCGGCTGGTGCTCAAGATTGCGGAAAAATCGAGCATGAAGCCTAAACATTGTAAAACAAAGTTGCACCTACACTTTGACCAACATCCAGAGCAATGCCTGAAAGCCAACAAAACAGACGAACACACTACAGTCTGGAACAAAGCGGAAACAAAGAATGTCGGGAACAAGTTGCATTCAGCCTTCTGCGGTCCAGATGCTCTGGCTCGAGGAATACACGCACCTGCGCTTGCAGGAATAGCACAGCAATCACATAGCCATCCTTTGCCTGGAGACGTACGTATCTGATGGAAGATGCCCTCGCTATTGGGGCCTGCTGCCAAACATGTCCTGATTAATGCATGGGCTTGTGGGGGAAAAAGCACAAACCACACAAACCGAAAACACCAAAAACATGAATGCACACCCTACCCTTGCTGCAAACCTGAGCGCAACCGCAAACAAAAATCCATCTAGCACAGAAAGAGCACCCCCTGCCTAGACCCCGAAAACGCCTCACCCTTTGATTCTCCACTATTAGGGTAATGCATCCCTAAACCCTAAATAGTAGTTTCCATTATATTTTCCATTATCCCAATTTCATCCTAATATTACCCCAATGGGTTTTGGCAACCCCCTATGCGACAGCTGGAGGCCTCAGCTGCAGCCATCCTTCTCCCCAAAGGGGCGCATAAGGCTGCCAACCGTCCTTAGCTAGGCGAGACACTGGTGCTATCTATACTCAGAATTGTGAGGCCTTCATAGGACAGAAAAGGAACATATGATGTGGAAAGACTATACCAAGGATCTGATTTGCAGCGGGGGTAGAGAATGATTCTGTCCCCAAAACTCTAAACCCTAAATTTGGGATTCTTTCTGCGTGAGGATGTCTACCTCGAGTTGCTAAGGAATGAGAGAAAGAGTTCTCAAGCTGCTCGAAAAATACGAGGGAGCTTCTTGCTCCACAGGGGCCCCTAGGGGGCCCAAGGCTATACCAGGAGTATAAAGGAATTATGGGGTCACTATTTGGGATTGTATCAGCATCGTTTTGACAAATGCAAAAATCCTTAGCTTTGAAATTTGCAGACTGTTGGAAAGGTTACAGCGCACGGCGCACGCCAAATCTTGCCATTTTTTGGGTGTTGACGCAGAGATCATGACAGGTACCCATTTATACACAATATGCCCTTACCTTCATAATGAAATGCGTCACTACCTGTAATGTCTTTATCCTCCCTGTTTGAAATCCATCTAGAACTAATGAAGTATTCGTAGAACTCAACCCTCAAATGACTTTCAAGCCACCCCTAATTCGGCGCAATAAAGACTCATCTTGTGCAACTAAAATTCCTCTTGGACTATGCTCTTGGAGGTTATGCCCAGAAATTACGTCTGCTGGCAATTGCGCAGTAGAATCTGTGGGGCTTTTGTGGGTGCGTGTTACCTACATTATGCAACTACATCTAGGTATACTACTCTGCACTATGTACACGACAATCTCCGTTGTTCTCAAAATTATGGACCCCTCTTGTTTCTAGAGTATACTACGGCACCGAATATTTAGGGGTACCAAATTGAAACCCTAACTTTGGAAACTCCCCATGTAGATGTACAAAGATGGCATTGGGGCTATGCCGGAATTTCGACACCAACAGTCACAGTAGTCGCAACATTGCAGATCGAGCGTCTGGGGAAGTTGTGAGGCTGTGCTGCGGCACGCCTCAGAGAAGTTGCCAGAATGGACCAACCTCCGTAGGATCCAAGGAAACTCTCTGATTTAACCAAACTTGTTGTAGGATTTCCAGTCCCCTCCTGTCGTCAGGTTGGGGCTTGCTTCTTGCTATAAGCTAGAAGGCACTGTGTGGACGTATAGAAGGATAGAAAAAGATTTACGAATTGCTTTTCGGCACTTTTGACGGGGAGGAGGTTGGAGAAATGCGCGAAGGAACAGCGGTAGTTGGTGTAACTATGCCCCCTGATTGAAATTGAGGGGTATGGGCGCTGGGCTGGAATCTTGGTTTCTTTCAAGAGGGTTCCATTTTATCACCCCAAACGATTCCAGCACAATGTGACCTAAAATGATTGCCAATTAGTTGCTGCTGCAGAGAAGACCACCATTCGTGATCCCATCCCTATATGGGGACTTCTCAGAACTAGAGACGCATGTGAGCTATAGTCTAAACTCCTAGTATCCCGCTTAATAAGCCCTATAATATACCCCTATATAATCCCCTATATATACCCCCTTTAAGGAGTTTAGACTACAGCTCATGTA